AGTACCACACTCCCTGGGCTCTTACTGTATGACGTGCTGTGTTGCTGGCCGAGTACCACACTCCCTGGGCTCTTACTGTATGACGTGCTGTGTTGCTGGCCGAGTACAACACTCCCTGGGCTCTTACTTCATTTGCGGTAACGTGTTCATCCATCAGCTTGACTTTTTACATTTTGTATTCAGGAAGCCTATCAGCATTAAAACGTGTGTTTCTGCAGGTCTGTGTTGTCACAAGCGCTGGTGGGTGTTGCCAACACGGCAGTCCACCTTATGGCTGCAAATCCTCGCAAATTGGCTTGAGATTTCGACAATTTGACGTAGGCTACGTATACTGTCGCAATTATTACACACACGATGTGTTGAGTGAACGCCGGCCGTGGGAACTTTGTTGTTCGCTTGGCTTCTAAGTAGGGTGATAATTGTACACAACACCCCCCCCCTCCCCTCCCTCCCCCTCCAATATTGGCTTTAGTGCTAGTAATAACTAGGCTAACTTTACCTCAGATCTACATTACTAGCCGAATCGAGCCTACCCTAACCGAGTCACCCCTATACCTAGCCTAATCCAGCCTCTACCTATGCCAAACTTAATTGAGTCAACCATATGACTAGTGATAGTCTGTCATAGCTTAGTCTATGCTTAGCCTAACCGAACTTTTGCGTAGCCTATGACAAGCTTAATCGACTGTAGCTGGTTTCCATAATAACCTCCAAGACTCTTAGACTACATATGCACGCCATTCATCTTTCCCATCATCAAGGTAAGGTAAGGTTCCCCTTGCTATCTTTTGAACAACAGATAAACAGATCTGTTATATAAAAGGTCTGTGACGCGCTCACCAATAGGTCGTATTGAAATCAAACCTGGCGGACTGACTTAGTGAATAGGGGATGGGATGGTGTGGGAAGTGACGGTGAAGGATGTGGTGGTGTGGGAAGTGACGGTGAAGGATGTGGTGGTGTGGGAAGTGACAGTGAAGGATGTGGTGGTGTGGGAAGTGACGGTGAAGGATGTGGTGGTGTGGGAAGTGACAGTGAAGGATGTGGTGGTGTGGGAAGTGACGGTGAAGGATGTGGTGGTGTGGGAAGTGACGGTGAAGGATGTGGTGGTGTGGGAAGTGACGGTGAAGGATGTGGTGGTGTGGGAAGTGACGGTGAAGGATGTGGTGGTGTGGGAAGTGACGGTGAAGGATGTGGTGGTGTGGGAAGTGACGGTGAAGGATGTGGTGGTGTGGGAAGTGACAGTGAAGGATGTGGTGGTGTTGGAAGTGACGGTGAAGGATGTGGTGGTGTGGGAAGTGACAGTGAAGGATGTGGTGGTGTGGGAAGTGACGGTGAAGGATGTGGTGGTGTGGGAAGTGACGGTGAAGGATGTGGTGGTGTGGGAAGTGACGGTGAAGGATGTGGTGGTGTGGGAAGTGACGGTGCAGGATGTGATGGTGTGGGAAGTGACCGTGCAGGATGTGGTGGGAGTATATGATGATGTAATCTGGAGCTTAGAGGATCATGAGATTAGCGACAGAGAGAGAGACGGAACTTTCACCGATGACAACAAAGAAATGAGCGAATCAGTTCGACTATGTTTTCAGCGAGTCACTAAACACACTAAAAATTGATACCCCAAATTAATTTTTCATGGATGGGATGCCAATATCAGGTGTCACCCTTTCCCCCACTGGAGTTTGAAGAAGCCATAAACAGTATGTCTATGCAATCCGCACCAGGTCCTGATTCTTGGAACTCCATATTCATCAAGAACTGTTAAAAAAAGCACTGTCGAAGTCATTCACATTCTTTGGGGACAGAGCCTAGGTACTGGCGTTATCCCTGACATACTAAAAACAGCAGAGATAGCACCACTCCATAAAGGAGGAAATAAGGCAGAGGCAAAAAATTACAGACCGATAGCACTAACATCACACATCATAAAAATCTTTGAGAGTACTGTACTAAGAAATAAGATCACAAAATACATAGAATCACAGCATCTCCATAACTCTGGACAACATGGTTTCAGAACAGGACGCTCTTGCCTGTCACAGTTGCTGGTTCACTATGACATGGCATTAGATGCCATGGAAGACGAACAAAACGCTGATGTAACTTACACAGGTTTCGCAAAAGCCTTGGACAAATGTGACCAACCGTGTATGGAGTCAGCCTCCACCACATCACTGCCTAATGCATTCCATTTGTGAGCCACTCTGACACTAAAAAAGTTCTTTCTAATATCTCTGAGGTGTCAGCCTCAATGTGTAATAGTCAACAAAGTAAAATCCGGACCATCAACCGTGAAGAACTCAGTTCCCCAGGGTACTGTGCTTGCTCCAGTACTTTTTCTCGTCCTCATATCGGACATAGACAAGGATACAATCTATAGCACCGTATCATCCTTTGCAATTGAGTCCAGGGTTTTTATGAGAGTAGACAACAGAGAGAGCACAGCAAACCTTCAATCAGATGTAAATCGGGTCTTTCAATGAGCTACAGAAAATAATATGGAATTTAATGAAGATAAGTTCCAGCTATTGCGTTACGGAAAAAAAATGAAAAAATGAAAACAAACCACGTACAAAACGCAGTCAAATCATAACATTGAACGAAAAGGCAATGTAAAGGCTTTGGGTGTACTCATGTCGAAAGACCTTACCTTTAAAGAACACAATAAAGTAGCCGTCACAACTGCAAGAAAAATGACAGGTTGGATAAAAAAATTTCAAATTAGAGATGCTATGCCCATGATTATACTCTTCAAGACGCTAGTGCTCTCTAGAGTGGAGTACTGCTGCACAATGACGCATACTTTACGTCATTATATAATGGAATGTGAAAGAAATCACCAGGCGATGTTAGAAATATTACCAAAATATAGATTAAAGTCTTCAAAAGAGAGTGAGAGATACTGGAACAAAACAGGTTACAAAAGCAAGTCTGATCAGTCAGGTTATAAATGGTCATGTATGGCCTGCGGGCCGCGACCAGCAACAGCCTCGCAAATTGCGCAGTCACTAAGGAAGCCTGATTTCAGGTGGAATTGTGATAGGATCACAATTCTGGATATTTGCTACAGGTAAGCCCGGGTGCCTGTCAGAGTGGGTGTAGCATGACGCATGGGGAATATATCCTCATTGAACAAGGGCTCCGTGAATCATGGCAGTGGACAAATGCACATGTTTATTTGCGCGTGAATATGGACTCTCCTTCGCGGGTTTTTGTGAAGGCGAGTCGTGTACTGCAAGGCGACGACTGGTCGTGTTGCTGGTGTGTGTAGGGGTCGTGCTTCTAGGCTGGTGGTGGACGACAAGCCGCTCCCATTGGTGCCAGGAGTGTGGCTGAAAATGCTTTTGTGTTTCAATATATTTGTGAATGCGGAGTTCTGGGGAGGTGAGTGGTGGGTAATTATTAGGTGATGTGCACGTGTGTCGGGCGTGGCGGCCCGCCGAGCGGCCTTCCTCGCCCGCGGGAGATGTTGCCGGCTCTCACCACTCATAATACCTTTCTTAAAGCCAGAAATTGACACTCTTAATTTGGTTGAATATTGTACACTTGTGTTGAAGACGTGTAAAGCTATATACTTCTCGGTGTTATGTATTGTGGCGCATGTTTAGGGAGTGGAATACATAGAGCAATACTTTGGAGGGTTGATGCTTGGAGAGTGCCACAGGTGTCACTTGTGGAAGCTGGCAGTGGTGCCTCCAAGACTAGTGTTGCTGCCTCCGGTGGTGGGAGGGAGAGGGACCAGTCCACCTGTCATCAACACAAGCCACAAAGCGGTGGAGAATGTTGCTGTGTGTCGTATCACAACTGGCTATCAAGCAGGTGTTGAACTATTAATAGAGTTCATTGTGTTGTTGCAATAATCAGATTACAAGAGGGGCGCAGCTTATCTATCCAGCGCGTGTCCTCTCCCATCTGCCACTCCGTCAAGAACACCATTGTGTCGGATCATCCACCACAATGGTCACATCCAAGTTACATCTCATCCAACACATCCAAGTTCAACTTGGATGACCAGAACCGTACGACACGGACCAACCCACATAACACAGTGTATCCTCTCCCCTTTTGTGCATTCCCTCGAGGCGCATGCACAAAAACGTTAATATTACGGTGCTTTGATTTTGACAAATGCGTCGCATTTTTGATGGATTGCCAATTCCTTCCAAATATTTGTATGAGAGGACAGGTTGTTGTGATACCTCCTGGAACCTGTTAGTGATGGTGGGTGTTGTGGACTGGTGTGTATCAGCTCGTCTCCCCAACCACAACAGCCTCGTGACTCATATTCTTCCATGGCATTATGGATGTTCGGAGAAGAAACAGCTTACGTCACAAGTCGGCAGTTATATACAGTATAGATTACGCTGCTAGTCTTTGCAGATTACAGAAAGCTAATAAAAGATTACCCGAGGGTTGACGAATTTGATAAGTGATAAGGAAGCTGTTTTTCTTTAATAAGCCGCGATCACTGTTGCGGGCAAGGCAAAGCTGTGGTCGCTCTAGGGTGGTGCCCTCATGACTAAGCTGTGGTCGCTGTAGACTGGTGCCCTCATGACTAAGCTGTGGTCGCTCTAGGCTGGTGCCCTCATGACTAAGCTGTGGTCGCTCTAGGGTGGTGCCCTCATGACTAAGCTGTGGTCGCTCTAGACTGATGCCCTCATGACTCAGTTGTGGTCGCTCTAGGCTGGTGCCCTCATGACTATGCTGTGGTCGCTCTAGGGTGGTGCCCTCATGACTAAGCTGCGGTCGCTCGAGTGTCTCCATTTCTAATCTGATTTGGAGACAAATTAAACCATCCCTTGGTAAATACATTCCGCTGTCGAGTAGATTTTGACGCATTTCGGAGAGCAGTAAGAGTCCTGTGCAGGTTCACTGCATGTAAGATCACAAAACACGTGGGATCACGTCGTCTGCGTGACCTTGGCTAATATCGACTGGTGGCAGCATGACGCTCCTGCCTCTCACGGTTGTTAGACCACTATATCAGGGCCTTGGATGCCATGGCAGACGAGCAACAGGTCGATGCATTATACACGCAGACTTCGCCAGAGCTTTGGACAAGTTCGTCATGGTGCACTTGCGCGCACAATCCCCCACACCAAAGGAATGACCGACAAAGTAGAAAGACGAATCTTCAATGTACTTAATAAAATAGACCGAAGAATAGTCAACAAAGTAAAATTCGAACTACCCACATTTTTTTTAGAGTATTCCTAATAAGGGTGCTGGTGGTACAAGACGCTATCTACGGTTCAATGTGTTGCATAGTAACAGCCCGATAAGATGCTGGGAAAGTTGCTGGCCAGGAGAATGTGTAGACAACTTGTATTGCCAGAATTCATTCAAGAAAGCATCAATATTGTTCGGGAACCCTTAATATCCGTTAAAGTGTAGACTCTGGGACGGAGGCAAGGTACACCGTAATTTACACACACGCACGCGCGCGCGCGCGCGCACACACACACACACACACACACACACACACACACACACACACACACACACACACACACACACACACGCACGCACGCACGCACACGCACACGCACACGCACACGCGTGTGTACGTATTTCCTTACTAAACCAAGAAGCATATGCCTTCCGGTTTGGCGTAGTGTTGCATAGTCTCATTGGAAAGTAAGATTACCTTGCGATGATTTCGGGGCTCAACGTCCCCGCGGCCCGGTCCTCGACCAGGCCTCCTCGCTTGAAGATACAGCAAGAGACGGTGCTGTTAACATTAGACCAAAGGGCTCAACATTTCGACCGCCTTCACCACCGAAGAGGGGCGCTCGGTCAACGTTTCCAAGGGGTGCAGGTCTTCGGGCGACGACGCACTCCACACTGTGCTGGGGGTGATCTCACAGTCAGCCATGGAAGGCTGCTCGAAGACCGGACCGCGGGGGATATTGATCCTCGGAGCCAACTCTAGCTGGATAGGCTGATGGTATCAAATTTGCTGATGTTTTTGCATACTCTGAGCTTTATAATATTGAGCTCATTGGGCACAGCATCCAAGAGCAACGTTGAATTAACGCTGATTCAACGTCGAGCCAACGTTTTCTTGGTTATTATGTCCACTGGGAACTGGTATTGTGTGCGCCCGGTGAACGGAGACGTGGTCAATCCAAGATCGGGCCGCGGGACCATTGATCCCCGGAGCCAAGATGATTGATGAAGATTAAGCCCCCCAAGAGGTGGCACGGGCATGAGTAAGTGGTGGATTTTTTATTTTTTTTAAGGAGTGGTGGAGCCAGGAGAGGTAGACACAAGTAGGGTGGTATGGTCGAGGTTACATGTTGGCCGCTGGCTCACTGTTGCCGGTAGAAGACCTTGCAACAAACGTCTAAAAATATCTCCCGGTAGTAGAGGCAGCAGTCACACAACACTGGCTCCCAGCTCGGCTCTCTCTCTCTCCCCCCACCTACCCCAGGGACGCTCACTATCCCCCCCCCCCCCCCCCGGGGAAACACCATCCCCGCCTATCCAGGGAGGAACACTCACCATAAGGCTGGGAAACTCAGGCTGACCCATCCACTAAAACCCTCAAGGTAAAAATAAACTTCAGACCGTACAGAAAAATATATTTTGTGTTGACACCGAGCAGTCGTGACATAACGGGGTGGCGGCCTGGAATACGTGCGTGACGGCCTGGAATACGGCTGTTATTGCCTGGAATTGAATATTACCGCCTGGAATACCCGGCTCCGAGCCCCTCTTCTCCCCCAGTACAAGATGTATAGGGAGACCAACGCGGGTATGAGAGAGAAGCTGATAGTACGTTAGTGCACGTGTTGTCTGCGGTACGTACCAGACACGGGTACGTTTCTCTGCACAACACGTGCAGAGAAACCCGACAAATTACGACATGAATCCCAATATTTCCAGGACGTGTAGCTGTGTGTAGCAAAGTGTTAAGAATGGAGAGGCGTGCATGGATATCAACGGTGTAATCCTGACCGGATTGTTTGTTATTCGAGTATAATATGCAGTATACCGTGTACACACACACTGTTGCCTGAACAAATCCACAAGGGCCGTGACGAGGATTCGAAGCTGCGTCCGAAAGCATCCCAGACGCTGCCTTAATCGACTGAGCTACGACATGGTCAAAAGATTGTGATTTCTGTGTGACACTGTTGCCTGTTCTTGTATGGTGACCTACCTTACCTTGAGGTTACCTTGAGGTTACCTTGAGGTGCTTCCGGGGCTTAGTGTCCCCGCGGCCCGGTCGTCGACCAGGCCTCCTGGTTGCTGGACTGATCAACCAGGCTGTTAGACGCGGCTGCTCGCAGCCTGACGTATGAGTCACAGCCTGGTTGATCAGGTATCCTTTGGAGGTGCTTATCGAGTTCTCTCTTGAACACTGTGAGAGGTCGGCCAGTTATGCCCCTTATGTGTAGTGGAAGCGTGTTGAACAGTCTCGGGCCTCTGATGTTGATAGAGTTCTTTCTCAGAGTACCTGTTGCACCTCTGCTTTTCAACGGGGGTATTCTGCACATCCTGCCGTGTCTTCTGGTCTCATGTGATGTTATTTCTGTGTGCAGGTTTGGGACCAGCCCCTCTAATATTTTCCACGTGTAAATTATTATGTATCTCTCCCACCTGCGCTCAAGGGAGTACAGATTTAGGCTCTTTAGTCGGTCCCAGTAATTTAGATGTTTTACTGAGTGGATTCTAGCAGTAAAGGATCTCTGCACGCTCTCCAGGTCAGCAATTTCTCCAGCTTTGAAAGGGGCTGTCATTGTGCAGCAGTACTCCACTCTAGAGAGCACAAGCGTTTTGAAAAGTATCATCATCGGTATAGCATCTCTAGTGTGAAAAGTTCTTGTTATCCAACCTAGGTCTTCCGACATGAGTACACCCAGATCCTTTACATTGCCTTTTCGTTCTATGTTATGATTTGCCCGAGTTTTGTACGTGGTTTCTGCTTTTATATTTTCTATTTCAACTGACATGGAGATACCAGACTTACTCTTCCTTTTATGGTGATGCGAGAACACTAGAGTTACCCTATCTTGAGGTTATCTTGAGATGATTTCGGGGCTTTAGTGTCCCCGCGGCCCGGTCCTCGACCAGGCCTCCACCCCCAGGAAGCAGCCCGTGACAGCTGACTAACACCCAGGTACCTATTTTACTGCTAGGTAACAGGGGCATAGGGTGAAAGAAACTCTGCCCATTGTTTCTCGCCGGCGCCTGGGATCGAACCCAGGACCACAGGATCACAAATCCAGCGTGCTGTCCGCTCGGCCGACCGGCTCCCCTGAGGGAAAATGTGACCAAATTCAGCATTGCGTTACCATATAACCTCTCTAGAAAACGGGAACAAAGATCTACTGAAAAAAAAAACTAAAGCCGCTTATCCCAGATGTTCGGTCCCCCAAAGCATATATTTTTTTTATTTCCCATTATGGGTTCGGAGCTTTTCAAGGTCATGACTCTCCTTGGGCAAGTTTTTAAGACTCGAGTCCCATAATTTTTGGTTTTAGTGTCAGGCGTCCATTTTGGAATTGGGGGCGCGCACTGTGGGGTGGTGGTGGGGCCGCTCTGCAGGTGTGGAGGTGGTGGGGCCGCTCTGCAGGTGTGGAGGTGGTGGGGCCGCTCTGCTGGTGTGGAGGTGGTGGGGCCGCTCTGCTGGTGTGGAGGTGGTGGGGCCGCTCTGCAGGTGTGGAGGTGGTGGGGGCCGCTCTGCAGGTGTGGAGGTGGTGGGGCCGCTCTGCAGGTGTGGAGGTGGTGGGGGCCGCTCTGCAGGTGTGGTGGTGGTGGGGCCGCTCTGCAGGTGTGGAGGTGGTGGGGCCGCTCTGCAGGTGTGGAGGTGGTGGGGCCGCTCTGCAGGTGTGGAGGTGGTGGGGCCGCTCTGCAGGTGTGGAGGTGGTGGGGGCCGCTCTGCAGGTGTGGAGGTGGTGGGGCCGCTCTGCAGGTGTGGAGGTGGTGGGGCCGCTCTGCAGGTGTGGAGGTGGTGGGGCCGCTCTGCAGGTGTGGAGGTGGTGGAGCCGCTCTGCAGGTGTGGAGGTGGTGGGGGCCGCTCTGCAGGTGTGGAGGTGGTGGGGGCCGCTCTGCAGGGGTGGAGGTGGTGGGGGCCGCTCTGCAGGTGTGGAGGTGGTGGGGGCCGCTCTGCAGGTGTGGAGGTGGTGGGGGCCGCTCTGCAGGTGTGGAGGTGGTGGGGGCCGCTCTGCAGGTGTGGAGGTGGGCCTGACGGCTGAATGGACAACGCTCAGGATTCGTAGTTCTAAGGTTCCGGGTTCGATTCCCGGCGGAGGCGGAAACAAATGTAGTAAATATGGTACCTGGGAGTTAGACACCTGCTACGGGCTGCTTCCTGGGGAAGTGTAACAAAAAGGAGGCCTGGTCGAGGACCGGGCCGTGGGGACGCTAAGCCCCGAAATCATCTCAAGATAACCTCAAGATATAGTTTGTCCAGACACTAACACGCGGGTGAGACTCAAATTAGCCATTGACAACGTTGGGAACAAGAAACTAGCCATTGACAACGTTGGGAACCGCAAACTAGCCATTCACAACGTTGGAAACCACAAACTAGCCATTCACAACGTTGGAAACCACAAACTAGCCATTCACAACGTTGGAAACCACAAACTAGCCATTCACAACGTTGGAAACCACAAACTAGCCATTCACAACGTTGGAAACCACAAACTAGCCATTCACAACGTTGGAAACCACAAACTAGCCATTCACAACGTTGGAAACCACAAACTAGCCATTCACAACGTTGGAAACCACAAACTAGCCATTCACAACGTTGGAAACCACAAACTAGCCATTCACAACGTTGGAAACCACAAACTAGCCATTCACAACGTTGGGAACCACACACTACCCATTCACAACCTTGGGGGAGACACACTACCCATTCACAACGCTGGGAACAACATTCCAGCCACTGTAGACAAGTGCTTCCAGCCGGCCGGACCTCCACAGTCGTGACTACACCTGGCTCTGTCGTACACGTGCGCATTTCGTACAAATGTTCTCTTACTAACGTCATTGACTATTGATCCAAAGTGTTGGTGTGACGCCAGTCTATTGTTTACTTGTCCTCTGCAGGGTAGCCGCAAGCTTACTCATATCTGCTTATGCTCTCCAGGCTTCTGTTGGTAATTTATATTGAGCCAGGCTAAGCGGGGAGATGAAAAAAAACATCGTCTGCCATGCTGTGGGGATTGAGTTGCAGAAACTCCAAAGTGGGAGATCGTGCGGGTTGTGAAGCACTCACAGCTCGCCCACTGTGAGCGGCCACGGTCATAAAAGGCATGAGTGATTATACCGGTTGACCTTTACTTCTCCTGACGACCATGATGTCACCCCCACCATGATTAGTTGACGTCCACCCTGATTTGTCGAGGGCCGTGATGTCACCCACCATTATTAGTTGACGATCACCTTGATTGGTTGAGGGCCGTGATGTCACCCACCATGATTAGTTGACGATCACCTTGATTGGTTGAGGGCCGTGATGTCACCCACCATGATTAGTTAACGATCACCTTGATTGGTTGAGGGCCGTGATGTCACCCACCATGATTAGTTGACGATCACCTTGATTGGTTGAGGGCCGTGATGTCACCCACCATGATTAGTTGACGATCACCTTGATTGGTTGAGGGACATGTCACCCACCGTGATTAGTTGAATTGTGAAAACCTTCGAAGCATTCCATACGTTGAAGTTGACGACGGTACTAATATCAAATAATATATCATGGAAGACACTGGAGGGCCAGGTCCCAAATCTGCACAGTAGAATAACAACATACTGGAGCGAAAGGTACGGAAGGAAATACAGAATAGAACCAGTGAATAGTGCCATAGGCACAGTCAGAGAACACTGAACATCAGGGGTCCACGGCTGTTCAACACCATCCCAGCAAGCATTAGAAACATTGCTGGAACAAAGGTGGAGGTCTTCAAGAGGCAGTTAGACAAGTTCTTGCAAGATGTGCCGGACCAACCGGGTTGTGGTGTGTGGGCTTGTGGGGCGCTCCAAGCAACAGCCTGTTGGAGCAAGTTATCACAAGTTGAGCCTGGCCTCAGGCCGGGCTTGGGGAGTAGAAGAAATCCCAGAGCCCCGTCAAGCAGGTATCACTATAGTAGCTGGCTATTGTATTGGCCTAGTACTATTTGAAGATAACGGTGTTATGAATGTGGCTTTGCAATCGGTTGCACTAGAAGCATGCATGCATTATATGCACCTGATCCTCTGTAAGGCTGTGATAGGTGACCGTAGGAATGGATATATAACGTAATTGGCATTCAGTCAGGCACCTGTAGCGCCAAGAGTTGCTAGAATGGGGCATGGGGGTGTGTCCCGTAGCTTACTCCAGAGTGATGTAAACACAGAGTACGTCTGGGGTGGGTGCTACCAACATTGCCTCTCTCTCTCTCTCTTTGCCTAGTGGAGGGCTCCTCGGGTCCACTGTGACACGTGATAGCTCCTTGGTAATATATCTTCAGCAACATGTGGGGGGGGGGGGGGTTATAGCACATGTGTGGTTCTGTATCTTCAGCAACATGGGGGAGTGGTGGGGTGTAACCCTGGAGCACCCAGTCTCACGTGTTAAAGACAGGGCCGGGCTTGGGGAGTAGAACTCCCAGAACCCCATCAACCAGGTATCAACCAGGGTCGTGAAACACGTCCCCCATGGTGGAGGTACCATGTACCTGTGGCCTCGCCCTCAGCTACCACAAGTGTGGTCCACTTGGTACCCTCGTACAGAAGAATTTAGCATAGACCTTCTTGTGTTGCTTATTTGTTTGTTTGTTGTGGGATAGGCCTGTGTATTGAAACACAGACCTACACACGACTCACAACCGTTGACGTCCGAACACTTTCGGATCAAGTGCTTCACTGACGAATTTTGTTCGAATCACAACGCTGTAAATGCTTCACCCACGTACTACAAATACAAATAATCGCCAACAGAACCTAAACACCTTAACTAACCCAATTAATGCCTAAAATATGCACAGCATGCCAATATAAAACCATATTAGTTTATATGTGAGAACATTCCCATTTTGAATGAACAGCATGTCAAAAATTGACGAATGCATCTTTGGGGGTCGACCGCTGGATGGAATGGACTTGGTGTGAGGACGGGTTGACATAGTATATGTATCTCCTGAGCTATATACTCTCGGTGGCTCTCCAACTCTCTCTCTCCTGATATCTATAATGCAAGGCTGGCTGGCCGGGCCTCCTTGGAGCTGCTTATTGGGTGGGGGGGGGGGGGGATGTGGGGTGGTGGGGGCTCTCTCCATTACACCTACTCTTCCTTCCTACCTCCGGCTCTTCCAGTGGCGCTCTCTCCCCCCCCCCCTCTCTCTCTCTGTTTTTGTGTACTCCTCTCTTGTCTTCCGGCCACTCGCCTCCATTCACCCGGCCATCTCCAGTCTCTCTGCTCTCTACTCTCCTAGCCCACTGCTCTCTACTTTGCCTCTTCTGCTCTCTAACCTCTCTTCTTTTCCCCTTCCCTTTCCACTACCCCGTCCCTCCCTCTCCCTTTCCTCTATTCCGTCCCTCCCTCTCCTTCTCCTCTCCCTCTCCTCTATTCCGTCCCTCCCTCTCATCCACTACGTCCCTCCCTCTCATTCACTACGTCCCTCCCTCTCATCCACTACGTCCCTCCCTCTCCGTTTCCTGTACTCCGTCACTCCCTCTTCCTCTCCTCCGTCCCTCCCTCTCCTCCGTCCCTCCCTCTCCTCCTCATCCTCCTCCTCCTCCTCCCTGGCTTTCCTCCCAGCCCCCACGGTGAGTCACCCCGACTATCGGTATTCCTGTGACGTCACTACCGCTCCCTGCTGCTGCTGCTGCTGGGTGGGGGAGGGAGGGAGGGAGGGAGCGGGATGGCGGCGCCCTTGGTGTCTGCTGGAGTCAGTCCCCTGTCAAGATACTCCCGTCCATGATAGCAAGTGCAGGGGGACCCTATCCACCTGTGTTCCTTTCACGTAACAAGAGGCAGGTGTGCACCACGTTGGTGTCTGCTGTGGCCTCTGCTGCTGCTTCTGCTGCTGCTTCTGCTGCTGGTGTTGGTGTTAGGGGTGGAGGTGTGTGTGTGTGTGTACTGGTGTTGGGGGGTAAGTCTTCTAAAAGCATTTCCTTGTGCAGTTTTCTCTTTAACAGTTGCGAGGTGTGTGTACTCACCTAATTGTACTCACCTAATTGTGCTTGCGGGGGTTGAGCTTTGGCTCTTTGGTCCCGCCTCTCAACTGTCAATCAACTGGTGTACAGATTCCTGAGCCTACTGGGCTCTATCATACCTACATTTGAAACTGTGTATGGAGTCAGCCTCCACCACATCACTTCCTAGTGCATTCCATTTATTAACTACTCTGACACTGAAAAAATTCTTTCTAACGTCTCTGTGGCTCATCTGGGTACTAAGTTTCCACCTGTGTCCCCTTGTTCGTGTCCCACCCGTGCTGAAGAGTTTGTCTTTGTCCACCCTGTCAATTCCCCTGAGAATTTTGTAGGTGGTTATCATGTCTCCCCTTACTCTTCTGTTTTCCAGGGATGTGAGGTTCAGCTCCTTTAGCCTTTCCTCGTAGCTCAATCCTCTCAGTTCCGGGACGAGCCTGGTGGCATACCGCTGAATCTTCTCTAACTTTGTCTTGTGTTTAACTAGGTATGGACTCCAGGCTGGAGCTGCATACTCCAGGATTGGTCTTACATAAGTGGTATACAGGGTTCTGAAAGATTCCTTACACAAGTTTCTGAAGGCAGTTCTTATGTTGGCCAGTCTAGCATATGCCGCTGATGATATTCTTTTGATGTGGGCCTCTGGGGACAGGTTCGGTGTGATATCAACCCCCAGATCCTTCTCTCTATTTGATTCTTGCAGGATTTCCCCTCCCAGATGATACCTTGTGTTCAGCCTCCTGCTCCCTTCGCCTAATTTCATCACCTTACACTTTCCAGAGTTGAACTTCAGCAGCCATTTTCTAGACCATTCCTCCAGTTTATCCAGGTCATCCTGTAGTCTCTGTCTATCTTCATCCGTCTTGATTCTTCTCATAATTTTTGCATCATCAGCAAACATCGAGAGGAATGAGTCTATACCCTCTGGAAGATCGTTCACATATATTAGAAACAGGATGGGTCCAAGTACTGAGCCCTGTGGGACTCCGCTGGTGACATCTCGCCACTCTGATGTCTTCCCCCTCACCGTTACTCGCTGTTTCCTGTTGCTTAAGTACTCCCTTATCCACTGGAGCACCTTCCCTTTTACTCCTGCCTGTTGCTCCAACTTTTTTAACAGCCTTTTATGGGGTACTGTGTCGAAGGCTTTTTGGCAATCCAGGAAAATGCAGTCGGCCCACCCTTCTCTTTCCTGCCTAATTTTCGTTGCCTGGTCATAAAATTCTATTAACCCTGTGAGGCACGATTTACCATCTCTGAACCCATGTTGGTGGTGCGTTACAAAGTTATTTCCCTCCAGATGCTCTACGAGCCTTTTCCTCACGATCTTCTCCAGCACCTTGCATGGTATACAAGTTAAGGAAACTGGCCTGTAATTCAGTGCCTCTTGCCTGTCACCCTTTTTGTATATTGGGACCACGTTAGCTGTCTTCCAACTTTCTGGTAAGTCTCCTGTTTCCAGTGACCTGTTATACACCATAGAGAGTGGCACACTTAGTGCTTCTGCACCTTCCTTTAGTATCCATGGTGAGATTCTATCAGGCCCAACAGCCTTTGTCACATCTAGCTCCAGCAGACACCTTTTGACCTCATCACTGGTGAGGTCAAATTCCTCCAAGGTTTCCAAGGTTGCCGCCTCCTCATTTAGTGCAGGGGCTTCTCCTTGTTCTATTGTGAAGACCTCCTGGAATCTCTTGTTGAGTTCTTCACACACCTCCTTGTCATTCTCTGTGTATCTGTTCTCCCCTTTCCGCAGCTTCATCACTTGTTCCTTCACTGCTGTTTTCCTC